GATGGTTGAACCGTTACATGGTTCAGAGCGACGTCCAGCACTCCGCGGCGTCGTTTTAAGCCCTGTTGGGCTCCTCCTCTCCGAGGGAAACACCAATCACACACACACAACAGGTGAGGGGGACGAGCATGCACGGTCCACGTGAAGGTCCAATATTGAGTTGTGAACACTGCACTGCAAGGTGGCGCCAGCAGGGCTCTTCCTCGTCGTGTGTGTGCCGCTAGTCGAGAGTTCCCACGGCGGAGGGGACCCCAGCAATGCGTGGGAAAGAGTGGCCATGCCCTCTTTGGGCTGGCTCCCGCGGGGTGCTTAACTATTGTGGCCCTTCTTCTAGCACACGTTCGACACTCTCGCCCACGCAAAGCCCGAAATCTCCACCGCACAATCCGTCGCGAGGAGGCACGCTGTAGACCACGATTTCGCCGCTTGTGCCTCACTGCACGACACAAAGACCTTGTTGTTGAACTGGCCGTTGACCTACCCTTGTCCCGTTCGCCCGGCCGATTGCCGCCATTTATATTCTTTAGTCACTTTGTCACTCGCGTACGCTTCTTCCTTTTTCGGCGGCGTTTGCGACCGACCTTTCCCTCATTGGTTTGAAATTGGTCGCGGGTTGAGTCATCGGCAGTAATAGAGTTCAAAGGCAACACATAAGACTTGCTATTTCCATGTGATTGCATTCCTGCTTCCTTTTTACTTTTCGTCCGGCGGCTCGGACGCCTGAAAACCGACTTTGAAGTCAGTACTGAACTCATAGGCTCGCTAGCTAGGCTCAAAGGTTTTGCGCCTTTTTTTACCCGCGTAGTGTCTTTTGTCTCGCTCGCGGCCTTCCGACGTCTCTTGGGTCAGTGCCGTTTCCTGCGACTCGTCTCTGAGCCTACCACTCGCAGCTCAAGGTCGCTAATACTCTCACTGCACTCGTCAGCTGTCGACACTGCGCCGTTTAAATGATTTTCGAAAAAAATCACCTATTTCGCACTCTAGACTGGAGGACAGCTTGACCCTCTTAAGAACAGTGCAGCTGCTTCCCTTCGAAAAACCTCGCTCGCCTTGCTGGGAGCTGCCTACAACCGCACTGTTCTTCTCACTCTCTGCTTTCGCTGCTGCTCCTGAGCTTTCTCCGGTTTCCTTGCCTAATACCTCATTTGCAAGATCCACCGTTGCGACAAACACAGTTGAGGTCTGTACCAGCTTTTCTACAGCTATCATAGCTGTTTCGCTAACAGCTAACTGGCACAGCACCTCGTCGCACTCGCTCTGGCCTTCGTCGGCCTCTCTACACAGCGCAGCCTCTTTAGCAGCACTCAAATTTGGATCTTTATCGAACCTGCTGCTGTTGTCCTTAAACGTGCTAGCCTTCCCTAAAGTTCTGGGCTGCCCCTCACTTATTTGATCATCGCACTTCTCGTGCACTACACTTACGAATGGCTGAATTTTACGTCTCATTGCCTCGATTTTCTGTTCCAATTGTTCGAGCACCAAGGCGCGTGCTCGATCACGCTCTTTTCTATCTCTTATTTCCTTCTCTTGTATTTCTCGTTACCGTGCCTCTCTTTCGCGTTCCTCTCGTTTTCGTTCCTCTCGTTCCCGTTCCTATTTTTCCCGTTCCCTTTCTCGTTTCTGATTTCGTTCCTCCAACTCCTGTTTTTCAAAAATCTCTATTGCGTTTTTAATGTCCTCCTCACTGGATTTTTGCGAGATCAGCCTCACAATCGATGTCCTGCCCAATCCTTCCGCTACTTCAATGCCTAGATGCTTACTCACAGCCAAAAGTTCATCTCTTAGCATTGCCTTCCACGCCATGAATGCCGTTGTACTTTGGGCCTGCATTTCACACATATTTATGGGATCCCTACAACTCAAAACTCACAAACGGTAATCTCCCTAATTCACACACAATCCAGCTTCTAATAAACTCACACAATTGAAGCCTGGAAAGTCAAAGCAATAACCAAGCACTCATCACAGCACAGCACCATGTCGCGAAGGTCATCCCACCGCTGCCACCAGTTGTTAAGGTTGAAGAAAGAAGGTCGCAGATGATGGCATCCCACCGCTGCCACCAGTTGTTAGGGTTGAAAGGAAGGTCGCTGATGATCGCATCCCACCGCTGCCATCAGTTGTTGCGAATGGGGGACTGCCCGGTCTCCTGTGGTAGCGTGGTGTAACCGGGTGAAGGAACTGAACGCTGACAAGAAGAGGATACGAAAACAAAAGAGGTTTATAGCACTATTTACAATTATTTACAGCATGAGGTTAGGAGTTCACTAACCACGAGCGTGATGGTTGAACCGTTACATGGTTCAGAGCGACGTCCAGCACTCTGCAGCGTCGTTTTAAGCGCTGTCGGGCTCCTCCTCTCCGAGTGGAACACCAATCACACACACACACAACAGGTGAGGGGGACGAGTGTGCACGGTCCACGTGAACGTCCAATATTGAGTTGTGAACACTGCACTGCAAGGTGGCGCCAGCAAGGCTCTTCCTCGTCGTGTGTGTGCCGCTAGTCGAGAGTTCCCACGATCCTGACAGCATACATCAAAGGGTCCGCCGATTTGTTCGCTTAATTAGCAGGGCGATTTGCGGCGGCCGGCATGGTCTCTTCCAGGGAAGATGCTGTCTTTGTTGTCCTCTCTGTAACTGTTTACGACGTCGTGGCGACACGACGTCTCATCTTCCGGCGAGCAGGGACAATGCCTGGCGGGCATAGGCAGTCGGCCGGTCGGCTACTTGATTGAGGATTAAAAGAGCGCCGCTCCCCCGTCAGCTCTGGCACCGGTCACACCAGCTTCCCCGTCGCCCGATGAGTCGCCGAGGGCATCAGTCACCGCTTCTGCTCGAAGAGACGACAAAAGGGTCCGTAGTGGAAAGTCAGGAACTCGCCTTCGCTTGTCACATGGTCTGGGTAATTACTCAAATCTTCGACAGCGTCTGGCGGACTGGGTGCCGAAGGGATTGAGAGCCTCTCCAGTGGACCAGCTTACGCACGATGGCGTCTGCCCAGATGAATTTCCAAGTCAAACTTTACAATTTCAAAAGGAAACCAAAACACAGCAATAAATGAAGCCGAAAGTAAAATTTGCCGCCCGCAAGTACGAAGAATAGGCAAATGTGTGTACTACCCATCATTCCCAGTGTCGCTGAACGATCGCAGTGACACAGTCCCCTCTAGTTAGTTTTGGAAACTCTGTTCTGTCAACGGTGTAAGAAAAATATATGATTTTCTTACAACGTAATTTTGTTGAGGTAGGCATCAGAATGTATGGAAAAATTTCTTTCGTTGCGGAGTTCTCTAAGCAGAGACGGGAATCGGAGTAAAGTCACAAGCATTCAAACGTAGTCTCACGTGCCAATTTTATTGAAGTGTGTGATTTCGTTGTAGGGGAGTGAAAGAATAGTTTGAGCTATGTTTGAACACTTGGCTTTCGTTTCACGTGTCAATCAGCAAAATCACACAGTTAAGCTGTCAGTTTATTGCTAATTGCTCATACCCAATTAATGGTTTTTTGCAAGCATTGCAAACGCTTACCGGTCGTCGACTTACGCATGCTGGTTGAGTAGTTTGCGCAGGTGTATTGCAAATATAGACCCAATAAAGTGTATTAGAGGATGACCACCACCGCTGAATTTGTTGCTGGTTCAGTCGACGCTGGCGGCGAGTTGTCTATTCGTACACTTTGCTTTATTGACAACCATATGCCAGTTACTAAAAGAATAATACGCCGTATAACTTCTTCGACTTGATTGTCAGACAGTTCTCATTAACTATATCACTACATTTCGCCTCATGACACCCATAAAGCCACCTTAGTTTAGGCCGCATGCTGACGCTGTTTCGCAAAAACGTTAGTTCAGTCGCATTCATCCGTACAAGCTCAGTTGCCGGCTTGGCATCACTAATGCCTCATCAAAGGAATCCCTTTCGAAACGCTGCATGCTTCGTCCCTCCCCAAATTTCTATAAGTTCATTTAGTAGCATTTATTTGAAGGTTTGTGGGCCGCAACATTCATGGTAACATTATTTTACACAGTGAAATATGAATAAGAGGACAAAGAACATTACGAAAACACGTTAATATTGAACCCTCTTGATCTTTCGCTTGTGTGGTCTCACTGCCCAATTGCATAAAAATTGCAGCTTCGCCATTGCCTTATTTTGAATTGTTGCCAATGTGAAGTCGCCTCCTGAGCACTGCGTACGAATGGTTTAACAGCGAAGCTGGAATAGGCGACCCCTGAATTTGTTAGGGATAATTCTGCCTGTTTGCTAGTTTTTTTGGTTTTGTTTATTGTCTGTTAAGTCCGTCTTGGAAATCTTAACTCGTATTAACAACTCGTGCGCTTTCTTCTTCACTATGAGTAGAACAGTGGTAAGTAGTGGGGCTTGCCTATTTTTGTGACACACAAACGACCTAGCAGTACTTGCACAAATATGACGGACAAATACAGGTTTCACCGAGCCCATTAGAGCTTCGCTATATTAATTTTCAAGTAGTAACTGAAAGCTCAGCGAAACCAATATTCATGGTCACTCCACTGCAGATATGCACTTAGCAGTGTAGTAACTTCTCGTTGTCGTCGTCAACATCACAATTATCATCACCGTCCCCGAAGTAGAACAGTCAGAAGCGAAGCCCAAATTGCGTTGGTGATTCGGCCCCTAATTTAGCTGCACGACGTGCCTCGAGTACGCGTCTTCAGACCTTCAGCCCTCACCCGCGTCAGCCAGTGAGTACACTGTCAAAACATGGATCCTTCGAGCTCCAAGCAGCCGTCACCCGACAAACCAAAGAAGCTCCAGCACGTCACCATAGCGGACCCACCCAAGCCAGAGACCAAGTCATCCGTAAGAATTCGGGGGTTCTCTGATCTAGCCCGCAGATTCAAGAACAGTGCGGATGAAGGCCAGGCATTCTACGCTGGTGGCTCAGAGAATAGCGGCCAGCAGATTATAGCGCCAGGAAAAAAAACCCGACAACAAGGAGGACTTCGTGGCCGAGATGTTCAGGGCAGCCAGGTTACATGGCGCTGCAACCATGGAACCGGGAGCGGATGACAAAACGGGCAAGGCTGCAGGTGCTGTTGGCAGCTCGTTCTCGGGTGCTGGTCGCAAGCTTGACGATGCAGCGAAGACTGGAGAGACAGTCGCGCCAGTCGACCGTACTGCACCTCAATGTTCCATTTCGAAGGTGCTCAAAATGTGGGAAAATGGTTTCAGCGTCGACGATGGGCCCCTGCGGGCGTATGACAGTCCAAGCAGCGAACAGTTTCTCCAGTCCATCCGCCAGGGAGAAGTCCCCGTGGAGATGCTGCAGGAGGCGGAAGGGGCCGAGGTGGACTTAATCATGGAAGACCATCGGCACGAGCAGTTCTTCGCACCGCAGCGTATAAAGGTGATGCCCTTCGAAGGCACGGGACACCGGCTCGGCGCCGTGACTCCAACGATGATCCGGCGAACAGTGACAATGCTACCGATCGAACTCGCTGAGGCCAACGCGAAGAAGGCGATAAACCTGAACGAGGCTTTGCCTACCACTAACATCCAGATTCGTCTCCACGATGGCTCGAGGTTGGTGGCACGCATGAACCAGACCAACACGGTAGCTGACATTCGCAAGTACATTGTGAACGCCCGGCCTGAGTACGAGGCAGCGACTTTCACGCTGCAGACTATGTTCCCGAGGAAGGAACTCACGAACGACCAGGCGACGCTGAAGGAGGCGAACCTGCTCAACGTGGTCATCGTTCAACGCCTGAAGTAAAGACTTGGACTAGTGTCACCGGAACAAACGTGTGCGTGGCAACGACTTCTCGCGATTCAGAAAGAACGAGAAATAAAGAAAACATCAATGGTCAATGTGGCGGCGAGGAGAAACTCGTGCCAGAGGCATGTTGAGCATGCCTCTCTTTCTTGCACCCCGCTGTTGGGGAAGTTCTAAATCCTGTGTTTAGTGCAGGTATACTACCAAGGAACATGATATCAAGTGCGTAGCACGCGAAACCCAGCAACGCCCTTGACCTTTCTTGCGCCGCGCAAAAAGGGGTGCTTGCCGAGGTTGTCGGACTTTCATATGCAGCGCGGGTATCACCGTGATGTGTCAGGAGCGTTTTTCGCGATTTCAGGTCTATTGTTGCAATACATTTTTGGTTGCCTCTATATGCAGTGCGGGCATCAGCGTCGTGTGTCAGAAGCGTTTTTCGCGATTTCAGGTCTATTGCTGCAATGCATTTTTGGTTGCCTCCATAGTTAAACCTTGTTCGATTATCTGGATCTGGTTTGGGAAAATGTAAGCCTTATTTTAGGCCTGTATTGATCCCTGCGTGACCATGAGACAAGCCGAGCTCAAAGGTACTGCACTCTTCAAAAGAGCATTAGGTTGGAGTACTAACGACTCAACCGCTGCCTTTATCCTGTTTAACAGATCGATTTTGTTCTCTCTCGCTGAAGTAACAGTATAAATCACAGAAACCTATTTCTGCACTGCCGGCTACTTTTTGCAATGCGAGCATGAACTCCGAGCGGGGGCCTCATCCCACGCAAGCGACTCTTTAAGGGGCGTGAATTCACTCTGGCGGTGTTTCTAAAGACGCCGCACAGAGCTTTTCGCCATCATGATCTGTTATTCCAGATCAGCCAGAAAACAAACCTTTGGCTTATTAGCGGGCATGACAATGGATTATATAGCGGCTTGCTTTCTGATGTTGCAACTGAACCTATACGGCATGTAGCCTTTCTAGCAATGTTACAAAGACATAATCAGCCGCATGCCACCAATAATATTTTTATTGCGATAGCAATATTGTGGACTCGCTCAAGATGTCAACGTTTCTCGCCGCCGTCAGGACCCACGTGTATGTATATATATATATATATATATATATATATATATATATATATATATATATATATATATATATATATATATATATATAATATATATATATATATATATATATTTATTTATTTATTTATCACGTCAACGTTTGTCGCCGCCGCCAGGACCCACGTGTATATATATATAATTTACTCGCGTAATTTTCGCACCCGCCCCTCCTTCGCCCAGCAAAAATACGGCGATTTTTTTTTCCTGGAGTAATAATCGCACCCCAGAAAATTGCCGCAATAATGTCGTCTGCTTGTTCCAGCTGTCGGATGGATGGATGGATGGATGGATGGATGGATGGATGGATGGATGGATGGATGGATGGATGGATGGATGGATGGATGGATGGATGGATGGATGGATGGATGGATGGATGGATGGATGGATGGGTGGATGGATGGATGGATGGATGGATGGATATGGCTGTACCCTTTAGATCGGGCGGTGACTAGCGCTACCAAGCCGTAATACTTAATGAACCAAAACTAGATTTATTTTTTTCCTTAAATAGTGAGGTTGAGGATTCGTACTTTGCAGCGAAGGTTAAATTTTCACTCGTGCCTTGACTTTAGCCACCAATCAGATAACCTTCTTCTAGTTAATTCTACCCGCTTAAGGTCTATTTTGCCCTCACTGTCCCTAAACCCCAGTGCTTTGAAAAACTCTGCGCCATCAACCGGAACTACAGGGTGAAGCCCTTTACACAACATTATCAAGTGTTCGGCAGTTTCTTCTTCCTCTCCACACGTACTGCGTACCGTGTCTTCCCCTTCGTATTTGGCCCGATATGTCTTTGTTCGCAATACTCCCGTCCTGGCCTCAAACAGTAGAGAACTACCCCGAGTATTATCATAGACCCTTTCATTGGCTATTTCCTGCTTAAAAGTTCGATAGATCTCTAGTGCGGACTTCTTAATCATGTCAATTCTCCACATATCGGTCTCAGCTTTCTTCACCTTCTTCTTAACCGATAACTCTTTTTGATGATGATGGCGCGCGCAGTCTGGCGCCATCTCTTAAGCATCGAGCGTACTATTATTGCACAGAAATTCGATCCAATCCAAGCCAAGTCAAAGCGGCAAGTGCGCGTTGCGGCGTGTTTTGTATGTTGTGTCGGTAATCTTGTCACGTTATGGGGCGATACTGAAGCTACACGGCTGCTTTCAAGCTGGAAGTGATTGATCATGCACTAAACAACGGCAACAGGGCCGCCGGTAGGCCCTTTGGAGTCGACGAGTTTTGTGTTCGCTACTTGTGATGGCAGCTGAAAGCCACCAAGACACCATCGGACTGCCGTGTGCCCGAGACTGGAATTGATGGTAAACATTACTTCTTTAGAAGGAAACTGTGGACGACTCTGGTAAATAGCCATCAGCCGAATACTGACATCCTATGCTTACCTTTGGAGTGCTCCTGTTGAGTGACAAACGCTACCGCTATACCCGCAACGCCCACAAGCGTTGCGTATGCATGGTATTCTAATTCTCGACTATATGCTTGCGCTTTTTGTGTCTCAAATAAATATTGTCTTGTGTTGAACCTCTGCTTTTATTTTCGAGGTAATTTTTGTTAGTACTTAGTTGCTGGTGTGAGAATTCCGATTTGCGGCCACTTCGTTTTCTTTTTTGCCCTGTATGTTTTCGTGCGAAGTTTTCCCCGCGTAATTCTCGCACCCCCTACTTTGCATCTGTTTTCCGCCGAAAAAAGAAGTGTGAAGGTGTTATGCGAGTGAATATATATATATATATATATATATATATATATATATATATATATATATATATATATATATATATATATATATATATATATATATATATATATATATATATATATATATATATATATATGGCTTGCGGATTGGCCATGAGCGTGTTTGCTGGGCGGCACTGGCTCTTACGTAGTGGCCGGCACAGGTTACGTCGTAGCGGTCGGTACTGGTCTCGGACGTGCTGTGGCCTGGCTTCAAATTCTGGCGACGACGATGGTTCTGGTTTGTCGCGCTGACTGTGTCATTGTGATTGCATGGTTGAGCTGACCCCATGCAATTTGTGGTCGCACGTGTTGCCTAGTTTGTGCTTCTCTTCCGTGTTTACGTCAGTAGACTAACGGAGGAATTAAAGATGCGAACGAGCTTCGACCGTTCTGCACGTACCGCCAAGATTGGCATGAGTATCCAAAGCTACGTCGGTTTCAGCGCTTCAACCTCCGAACTTGTCGACGCCCGGTCGTTCACCGATGGACGCCGTGCGAAAAAGTTCTGTGTTGTAGGCCACGCGGCTTCAAGGCAGCACAGTGAAAGTCAGAATGAAGTGGTGGTTCCGGGGAACAAGCTCACACGTCAGGAGCCAGGAACGGTGGATGTCGGCTTTTTTATGGCTAGGACTTGTGTCTGGCATTTTAGTCTGATGGTGCGGAAGTCATGGAATCTGAAAGGTGTGGCATAGAGCCCTGCTCAGAGCCGGTGTCGGTGTCGAGCGCTTCTCCTTCGCGTTCGCGATTTTGTCTGCGTAGCGGTGCTGGGTAACAGATGGGCAATCGAAGATCTTCCCTATACATCTCCGAAAGATGGTTGGTTGGAACACCGTATGGCTGCACAGGAAGGACGATGTCCTTCTTGAGCTAGGGTGCCAAGAGGTGCACTGTCGAGGTGGTGGGTCGCAGAGCTCCCATCCACGGTAGAGTCCAGGTCGACAGGGATAGGGTCAGAGTCAGAGGCATGAAAAAGTGACCGAAATAGATGCGTTAAGCTAGCACATCCTTCCGACCAAGATTGTTGCCTGAAGCCTTCATGATTGTGTAAAGCTTTGGCAGCATCGCGAGGGCTTTCAATGGATAACAGTCGTTTCTGATGCCCTAGCCAGGCATTGCGGGTGCCGAGAGCATTAACCGCTTTGATCCACAGTATGGCATTGTCCTGGAATCCACGAAACTCCGGTAGTTCCGATGCGGCCACTGACTGTATAGTGGAAATCAAGGATACGGAAGTTCGCAAGGAGAAACGATCTAGCTCCTGAGCAAGCAAGGACGTCGCCGACATTACGTCCGTGGGTATAGGTCGGGTGAGGAGCCTGAGGAAGCAGGGCCGACGGCTGCGGGGATAGCGGGCGTCCTGGTACTTCCGCTGGTGGTTGAATACCCACAGCTTAAAAGCGCCGATTTCTGAAGTTGTTGGCTCAAGCTTGCGGGATCACTGATGATTTTAGCAGCAGCGTCGTTTGAACTACCTGGAGAGCCCTTGCCGGCGGCTGCGGAATATGCTGTCGTCGCAGCAATCAGTGCGGTGATGTCACTATTCAGTGAAGTTTTGTGAAAGTACCATTGAGTTACCGAGGAGGCCTGGACGCTTTCCCTGGACTGTGCTTGTAGCACAGGCAGAAAAGCAGGTGACGAGGAGGCTTGAACGCATAGATCCCGTGACACAGTCACCACTGTTTGACAAAGACGGTTTCCAGGCCTCCTCGTCCCCCGGCCTACTCGTCACCCGTCAACCGTCCTACTATACAAAAGTTATAATAATGGCGTAGCGGGTGCCGAGCAAAAGTTCTTGTATCTGTTACCCAAAGAGTGTTTAGAAAAGGCTCGGAAAGGCCACTGTTTCAGCTTTCACTGTGCCTGTGTTGTGTATTCCGCGCAGACCTGACGTTTTTTTTAACACTCTATGGGTAGCTGTTGCAAGCACCCTTGCAGGCTAACCTATACGCCATTAATAATTGTGTAGTTGGCAGCCATTCACTGTGTCTTCCTACGTCACTTCGTAAAAGCGTGGTACCCCCTGCACACTTGCAAGCAACTTTTATTTTTTTCTGTGGCTGACGACGATGAAGAATTATGCCAGAACCTTTTGTAATCATTGCAATTCCCCACACTAGGTATGC